CTTAGGTTTCTGTTCCTAAAGAATCCCAAGATGTGTTTACAATATTAAAGGGAAGAGGGGTGTCTGTTGCTTAATCATACTTGGGGAATTTAGCAGGGTTTATATATCTGTAAGCTAAGTGGCTAAGCAGCCAAGTGACTAAGCGATTAAGTGACTAAGCGTCTAAGCGGCTAAGCGACTAAGTGATTACTAAGCAACCAGAAGGTTCTAGTAACTAATAACTACTGATTACTAAGCGACTAAGTGGTTAAGTGACTAAGTGACTAAGCGACTAAGCGACTAAGCATCTAAGTGACTAAGCGACTAAGCAATTACTAATCAACTGGAATGTTCTGGCAACTTCTACAAATAATGATAATACAATAATGAAATAACTAATACTAATAATAATAAGATAATGAAATAATAATAACTAATAATAATAATAAAATAATAATAAATCATTCTATAACACTATGATATATTTAGGCAAGGGTTCTATTTTTATATTAGTTAATACTATGTTGTCTTCAAGATCATGAGTTAGTGCATTATCAATTAAAAGTAATATTTAATGATTTTTAAGACAAATTATTAAATCCAAATCTTTTATATAATGTTATCAAATAGATTTTTGTATCCAAGCAGTCTTGTTTCAGAAATATTCAACTGGTAATTTTTTTTTGTCAATACTTCTAAGCACATGTAGGTTTTTATACTTATGAATAAACAATGGTTTTAATTTTTTTGTTTCTATTGCATTAGAAGATAATAAAATTGTAACCCTTTCTTTTGCTTTTTTTGTTCCTGAAACTGAACCTGTTGCTAATGTACAGAAAGGCTCCATCCAGTAATACAAACTAGTTTCATCATAATTAAAAACATCCTCAAGCCTATAAGGTTAAATAACACTTTGTAGTTTATTTCTAAATTCAGGTAATTTTTTCAAAGGTACACTATTAGCTTTACCTTACCTCTTATACTCACTAATGTTGTGTCTTTTTTTAAAGTTATGTAACCAACTATTTGAAGTATTAAATTTATCTTCATTCAGTAATGATGCAAATTCTTTTACCTTATTTTGGATAAGATAGTCTGTTAATGTTTGCTTATTAACTATAACATGTTCTATTCAAAGTACTACTACTAATTTAATATTAACAAAAACTGGTTTTTTGCTTCTCTTATTTGTTGTATTTTTTAAACCTAAATTGATTGATAACCAATGATCTGACTTTGCTAAAATTTCACTACATGTTGATTTACTAATACTATATTGGGCAGCAAAATCATGATTGTTAATACTAGGTTTATTCTTTTTTTGAAGACATAAATCATATCTTTGTTTGTTAGTTAAAGTAATCTTTCTTTTCTTTTGAGCTTCACTATTACTATTATTGTTTTGTTGCTTATTTGTACTAGTATCTATTACTGCACTTGTTAAATGAAAGATATGAAAATTTTAAATTTTTTTTATATTATACTGATTAATAATATTACACAAATGCTTTGTTATCTCATTTAATAATTTGTTATATATAGGTATTTATTATAACAAAGTAATTTTGTTATGAACAAAAAATAAATTATTTCATTATATGTTATAACAAAGTTTTATAATTAAATTCATTATATCGAGATTAATTTATTAATAAAAAATTTTAGCTAAAAAAATCTTCATTATAATATTATATTCATTTTATAAGATTTGTTATATTAAGGTTATACTGTAGTACTAATATGAAGTAAAAAAGATTAAATAGAATGTTTCATACTTATAAGACTGGTTTCAGTCTAATTACAATATAAAATTCATTGTACAAAACTGCTAATAATAGTTAGCCAATTCAATTAAACTAATTCTAAATTACTGTATTCACTAAATATTATATACCAAGATAGAGTTGCATTCAAAAAAGCTATCTGTATGCTTCATAAATGGATATATAGAAACAATATTCAAAGATGTTACTTTATAATAAACTAGCATTAATATAATTGTATAGTCTAAAGTTGTTTTCATAAAAACTATTTTACCTATTGATCTAAGAAATGTGATATTCTAATTATACAGCTCATTATAATTTCTTCAAAATTTTGTACTTCTAATATATTATATAGAGAAAGTTTATTTTTTAATATTATTAGATTGGAAAAACTTCTTTAAGAAAGGTTATGTTTTGGACAAGAACATGAAATTACTATAAATTAAGCAAGTTATAATTTGTTAAAATTAATAATTCTTAAAATCTTTGTTTTATATTAATCATTAAAAAAAAAATCAATTTGAAGTATAATAAATTACATGTGTAATATGATATAAATTCATTATAAAGGTGCATGTTATTTCAAATATGTGTATAGGCATTATTTTAAAATCTATTATTCTATTTTTAGAAGATGCAATTTTCAAAATAATGCTCATACCTATTATTTTGAGAATTTACGATATAATAATATAGAGATGCTTAACTTTTCAAATATAATAAATTTAGAAGAATATATTAATTATTTAAAAGAAAAATATATAACTAAAATGTTAAGTGACCAAGAAATTATAAACCAAATTATATACCTAGAACCTAAAACAGCTGAAGATGATGAGAAAGATAATAATACAGAACTATTCTAAGTTAATCACAAAGAAGCATTAGACACTATATATTTTTAGAATTATATTTTATGTAATAAGATCTTAGCAATGCAGTTCATATAAAACATGACTTAACTTTATCAAAATTGTCTAGTCTAGTTAGAAAATTTTAGAATGCTTTATTTAAACAACTAACTATAGAAAGTTTTTTTTTTTTTTTTTTTTGGTATTAAGGTGACCTCTTTGGTCTTTTGACTTTATTAATACTTCTGTCGGGTATCATGACAAGTATACAACTGGCTACATATACAATTTTTCTATATTACCTATTTAAGAGGTCCGCCTGAAGGTTTCTCACTAGTTGCTGTATCTAACATCTCTGCTTAAGTGTTCTATTTAAATCCTCTGATCTGAAACCCTTATACCAACTTCACTGGGTCAAGCCCAAATTCTTGTCTCAACTTTAAGACTATTTTATCCTTGAGATAAACCTATCAGAGCCTCTGTGTTCCATATACAGCTAATCTGGATTTCATATAACATGCTATAGTTACCTAATATTTGCAGTTAGGGCTAATCTTAAACCACTACATTACACTATTTTTTACACTTAAAAGTTCACCCAAATCCTGGTACCTATCTTTCCAACTTCTTTTCTTCATCTTTATACTATTCAACTCTGAATCTGACAGACTCCCCAGACTCCCAATCCAGATAGCCTGCTATGATATACCTTTTGGTATCCTTTTCCTCTAGTGGTTCTAGTAGCCTGGTTGGTTATATGCTCCTCTACACATCTTTCCATCCGGTTGCATGTCTGTCTATTCCTTATTGGGGTTTCCTGGGCTTCCATCAGTCTGACAGCACCATCGAAGGTTTGTGCTACCTCTTTCTCAGAATTTTCAAGTGAGATTCTGTCTCCTGAGTTTCTTGGTCTTCTACATCTGGTGATCTTATCATGAGTTTGTACTGAAATCTTATGCAATCCTAGTTTTAATATTCCTTTATGTATGTGTAATGTTACACTTCACATAGATGCCCTGGGCTCCCAATAATGAGTAGAACCTGATTGGTTGTACTCAAGATTATAGATACCTAAATTCAATCGATTAACAGGAGACAATTTAGTCATAATACAGGTTAATTTTCAAATTTCATTGTAGGTGAAATTTGAACCTTAGATCTGCCACTTGGAGAATGACAACCTAACTACTACATTAGGATTGCCATTCTCTACTATAGAAAGTTTCTTTGAACTAGTTATATAATATATATATATAATAATATTTTTTTTGTATATTAAAATCCAACTTTTGTTTAATATTGCTTCTATATTTTTAAAAATTAAACTAAAAAAAAATTTTAATTAGATATTCAAAAATAAAAATAGCTGAAGTCAAAATTGAAAGATTTTAGTTTTTGTAATTTAATAAGAAGCCTGTAATTAAATATGAAACCCTGTGATTAAAGTCCAAGTATAGTACAATGATAGAAATAAAAATTCCTAGAAGGAGATCCAATCATGAAGTAGAATCACTATACATAACAAACAGTTGTTACAGAAGATTACGATTATAGAAGGATTGTGCATATAAGTTCTTTAGACTAAGACAGTACTAATATCCTTATATCTTCTAATATAGACAGTACCAACATCCCTATACCCAACTTGTAAAATACTTGCTTAGAAGAATAATCAACAGACTATGCAAATAAGTCTTAATTAGGATCTAAGAAAAAGGTTTAATTAAAAGAGTAGCCTGAAAGTAATTAATACTAGAATGATAAGAGAAGCAGTAAACACAAGAATGGACTGTAATAAAGGATTAGTCTAACTAAAAATTGGAAACATCTTTAATATAGCTAAATAATTTAATTATAAAAAAGAAAATCTTGAAGATAGATGTATAACTTTTTTGTACAATATAAAAAAGTACCAAATCAGGTTCTGGTCATATTTATATAAAAGTTTATGATAAACAAGACTAGAGATTAACTAACCAATATGAGATAAGATCTGCAAAATAGTATGATATTATTAGGGTTAGTATAACTCCCTAATATAATTAGAATTATCCTACAGATATTGTTAAATAAGCTGAGAGCTTACAATATATAATAATATGGTATTACTAGGATTGAAGGAACTCTCTAGATATAACCAGAATTATCTTGTTTGTAAATGCAACAAGTTTCAGTCTCTATTATTAAAAGAAATATCATGTTGAAGATTAAATATAGTATCGAATTACTGTATGATGTTAAGACCTAAGACATCTGCAAGAACAGCAGTAGCAGATTTGACTTAAAATATGAATTGATCAAAAGACTAATGATGACAGCAGATCTGACTTGAAATATGAGCTTATTGCAGATCTTAAACCATTGTTAAAACACCTTAGAGGAAATAATAATAGGCATACTAAAGATAAAAAGATCATAAGGATCAGATATACCTAAGTAGAATCAATTTGGGAGTAATATAATAATGAAAAGATAAGAAATGTGAGAAACAAAGTAATACTAGATATAGCTAAATTAGAAAGCAGAAGAAACAAGACCAGGTAAAACATATGAATAGGACACATAGATATGATTTACAGAAGACAGTACCTTTAGCATTTGAGATGCTACATTAAGTTTGATAGATATCTTTGTCTGTGTAGCAGTTTAATATATATCATGACCACAAGTGATTGTCAAGATAATTATATGCAAGCATGTAATAGACATACATTTAAGACTATAAGAGTAACCAGGTGAAGTCAGTGATGTAAAATTAGATAGTATATAATATTAGTAATAGTTGATTCTAAAAATGTAACTGTAAAATCTATACTATATCAAATTAAAACTAATAAACCAACTGACATTGTCACCAAAGTTAAAAAAAAAAAAAATAAATAAAAAAAAATAAATAAAAAATAAACTAAATAAAATAAATTTTCTTTAAATTTATACCCAGTTTATCAAATTTGAACATATTTCTCTATAAAATGCTAGTGTTAAAAAAAAGAAAAAAATATTCTTTTTGATCATTTTAATGTGTTTATGAGTAAGGAACCATTCAATGTTATACGAATGTTCATGTATTGTCACATTATAGCCAGCCAATCAAATCGCAAAATTCAAAAATTCAAAAAATAACGATACGATAACACAAAACAAAAACGAAATAAAAGTGGATTTAACCAATATTATGAAAATACGACACGAAAGCTTCGCAGACATATCTGCATTTCATTATAAATATAGGCTACACAAGCCCGTGAAAAGTACTTTAAAATGTATAAATTACAACGTTAATTAATTGTGTAATATGTTGCTATTTTTAGGCACGGTTTCTGTTGAGTAAGGTAGATTAACGAAAAGCTTAACACATCATTGGCTGATATATCCTGTAATGCTATTGGTTGTTCTCTAAATGCAACCCTCCCTAAATGCATACCTTGGAACCGTCCCAACAGTATGCACTTAGGGAGGTCTGACTGTATATAAAAATAATAAATAACCTCTAACTACTGTGTTAGGTTGTTAACATATCATTCCTATATAATACTTCTCATGCTTTTTGAATAGATACGGAATATTAAAAGCAAAATAATTAAGATTTTTAGAATGTAATATACTGTATCTCTTGATTTTTGGCTTGATTTATTTAATATTATTAGTAGTAGAATTGGTACAATATACACACTCATCTTTGTTTACAATACTTTAACTATAATGGCAATTTATTCAGACTAGTTTAAGATACTCTCGAGAAATACGATACATTCTCTCGTTATTTATTTGGCTTGTTGAATTCATAAATTGTATTGTAGTATTTTTGATTATAGGTAAATACAGAAATCACAATCAGTATTACATCATCACGAGCTCTACACCTGAATATGGATTAATTTTGGTAATACTTTGTATCTAGTTAAAATTTTAATTTTCAACAGGTGAAAGATTTGTTGGATCAAATCCTATAAAATTCAAAAATTAAGGTTAACTATGAATAATAATATAAACAAAAAAAATCAAAAGCATACCCGGCATTGGAAAACTAGTGGCAAACGCCTCTACTTCTTTTTTCAGAGCAGAGATTTCTTCAACATCTTGACATGCAACAACAAAATCTTTCATCATTTTGCTACCTGATTTTTCCTAATAATTAAGTTATAGACTATTCAACATTGGATATATAGCAGAGATGATAATATTATCAACTTAAACAATTCACACAAACCTGGACCTTAATGGCAATTTGTACTACGCGATGCAAATATTCCGCGACCTTCACAAAGTCTTGTTCTTTAAAACTTCTCGATGTCAAGGCAGGCGTGCCAACGCGTACACCACCTGGAGATACCATATTTACATCACCAGGGACTGAATTCTTATTGAGTGTTATACTGCATAATGAATATGATAAATTAGAAAGCACAAATGAACATTATCGTTCCATTCGGTTACAAAGGCAAACATTTAAAAATAACCGGATTTACATACTTAACCATGTCACAAATTTTTTCAACCTTACTACCGGTTAATTTAATGGGTTTCAAGTCCCAGAGGATCAAATGATTATCTGTTCCACCAGTCACTAGTTTGTACCCATAACTTAAAAGTGCGTCACCTAAAGCTTTAGCATTAGCACAAACTTGTTTTGCGTATTGTTGAAATTCGGGAGTGGCTACCTGCTTAAGGGCAACTGCGATGGCGGCAATGGTATTATTATGTGGCCCTCCTTGATTAGAAGGGAAGACGGCATTGTTTACACGATTTTCTAATTCATCCTTTTTTTTTCTGAAAAAAATCAAACCCGCACGCGGTCCTCTTAGAGTCTTGTGCGTAGTTGTCGTGACAACGTCACATAATTCAAATGGATTATTCATTTCACGGGTTGCAACCAAACCACTAATGTGAGCAATATCGGCTAACAAATATGCACCATGTTGATCGGCAATCTTTCTAAGTCTGACGTAATCAAATTCACGTGAATATGCACTTGCACCACAAATAATTAATTTTGGACGGAAAAGATTGGCATT